CCAAGGCGTCAGTTAGGTGACACCTTGGGAGTGAGAATGGGCTGAATGTTTACATGCAAAACCTTATTGTAAATTGTTATCCTTGATTCAATTTCTTAGAAAAATGTTTTTATGTGTACCCAAACAGGAAAACAAAGATTTATTTAACAGTTTACACCACACACTTAAGATAGTCCTTTCAAAAAGGTCACGCCTGCTGCATAAACGTTTTCAGTTCAAAATAATAAAATAAATCAATGTTCTGACATTTCCCTTCTGCTATGATTTATTTTCCATGTCTATATTGTCTCAATCTCTACACGTCTAGAACTCTAACCCCTCATTTCATCTCAAAACCTAATCTCATAACATAATGTGTTATGAAAATAGAGGCTTACTTGATTCAATCACAGCTACAACCCTGTGGAACTGCCTTCGCCCTGCGCAATTATTTAAAAATACACATTTGGAAATATACAACCGGGCTATGAAATATGAATGACTAATAAGAAACAGCCAGACATTGAAAACCATTTTTCCAGAAAGGGAAGAAAAACAAGTTGCATTCCAAATGCTGCCCCCTCCCCCCAATAGTGTGCACACAAACTGAGTTTCAATCTAAAACTTTTACATTTCAGGTCTTAGTGCTTTTTTAATATTTCAAAGAGGAGTTGTGGGTACTTTTGATAAAAGCACCATTTGATAATGCCGGATCACGTAGCACTCTAATAGATCTGCTCCCATAAATGATTTATATAGTGCTCATTTTTAGTCCTCTCCTTTTAGCAGATAAAAAAAAAAAAAAAAAAAATAGTGGAATACATTATCCCGGGGCAAAGCACGGGTCACAAACGGAATACAGAATATCGCCACCACAGGTGATAATGCGCGTGAGCATCGTGTGTTTTTTTTTTTTTTTTTGTGCATGCAAGAATACATAGATGTGTGCTTACGTGTTTGCGAGAGAAACATTAACAGAGGGTGAAAGAAAGAGACATACAGAATGAGCCAAGTCGAAAGTGAAGATGTGAATCTTTTTGACTGACACCTAAATACCTTCATCTGTCAAAGCCTTAGGTGTGTGTATGCCTGTAATGTTATGCTTGGTTTTACCTGAAGAAATATCAGTGTAGGAGAAACTGTTTTTTTTTTTTTTTTTTACATCTGTGATCCCTACATCACCTCTCTGTTTCTCTCTTCCTATTTTGCATTAATGCCAAGGGTGGAAAGTATCATTCCTATTTATAGGAGCTCCCGGTGTCTGGAAGAAAGAAGTGTTCTCCCTTTCCTCTGTCATGCTCCAAAATGAAAACATGCCAAAATGAAAACAAGAAGCAACAAAAAGACAAGGGCAGGAAATACTGTACGTAATAAAGGATTGAAAGGTCTCATTTTGATATTAAAGCAAAGCTGTAGGTCACAGCACAGACTCAAAGTAGCTCAGTCTACAGCACTATTTCCATTTGTTGTAGCAGTGGCACACCTTACTTTAAGCTTACGTCATCAGGACAGTGCATGACTTACCGAACACAAGCAATCAATTTGATTGGGTGGAATTCATCCTAAACTGTATAGTGACTATGGACATGCTGTCTGTAATGAGGAAGTGGTGTGTGTTTTAGAGGGCTGTTTAAGCTCAAAGCTAAATGATGACCAATTTTTGTACTGAAAATAACAAATATGCTGGAACAAGAGCGGCAAATCAAGCCAGCAGTTATGGCTTATATCTGCAAAAAGTTTTATTCAGAGTTACAGTAAATGAAAGCCAGGAACTAAAATAAAAAAGGTTAGTATGAGTTTATAGAACAAAATAGCCAATTTCATGTATAGCAGATCAATTTCAAATTTCTAAAGGTTTCTAATTAGAGTGCATATCAATTGTCACAATAATCAAATGTTGACATTTACACATCCAAATGTCTGATACCATGAGTGAAAATACTGTTATTCTGCATCAACATACACTACAGTCAAAAGTTTGTTGTCAGTAAGATTGTTTAATGCTTTTGAATAAGTAATTCATGCTCACCAAGGCTGCATTTATTTGGATAAAAAAAAAAAGGTAAAAAAAAAATATTTATTTTATTATTAACTGTTCTGACGGGGTCTATTTATTTTATATTTTAACCAATTCAATGTTCAATCAATATTCAAAAGCAAAATGTTATCTGTTTGACCACACATGTAATTGAATATTTTACATGGCATTTTTACCCCCCTTTTTTGAATGTGTGTAAAAATGAGTGTATCTTAAAAACGAATTTATGTAAACAGTTCAATTCAATTCTGTATAGTTTTAAATTGTTTTATGCACGTTTTTAAGACTGTCAAGTTTGAGGTTAACATTTATCCATTTTTTGTATTAAATAAAATATGTTTATTAAAAATTGTTTTTCTTTTTCATTTTTGCACTTTTGAGATATTTATCAATTACAATTGATTTGTTACAAACATACGGTTCAAATTGGGAGAGTAAGGATTATTTTGATGTATGGCATGTGGAAATGCTCAAAAGAATGACAGCACAGCATGTAAAAATAGAAAGATATACTCTGGAGGAATTATTCTATGACAGATCATAAAGGGTTGAATCACTTTTCTTTCTTCAGTTTGGAGTTCAGGAGATTGTCTTGACCAGGACCACACCCCTAAATGCATTGAAGCAACTGCCATGTGATTGGTTGATTAGATAACTGCTTTAATGAGAAATTGAACAGGTGTTCCTATCCTTTAGGAGAGCGTACTATGACTATGGATGTCTTCTTTCCCAGTTGCAACAGTCTCTTGAGCAGCAAAAAGTGGGACGGTTATGAAGAACTAATAGCCTGACAGACTGCATACACCATCTCTCGCCTCAAGACATTTCCTCTCAACATCATTCTCTTTCTATCTCTCTCTTCTATCAACAGCCTATATGATGTGATTGATTTTACTATTTTCCATTAACAGTACACTCATATATGCACATGCATATGTAATATATGTACTGTACCTCATGTGACAATGTGATTAGAACCATGTTTTGTACAGTATTAACGTTCATGCACTGATCCATCAGTGATGTGGCAAAAAAAAAAAACTTTGCTACCGAAGATCTGAAAAATCTTTCCCTCAAATTTTCAAGAAACATGTATATAATGTGATATATTTTGCGGTTCAGTGAGCCATGCATATTTACATATAGACAGATGACTTTGTTAATGTGCTTTTGAATATGCTATTGTATACAAATATATAGATGTGCATGTAGATGTCTATGATCCCTGAGGGAAAGTCCAGGAAAGAACAGCCTCCGTTGTGAGCAGGGAGACCAAGCGAATACACAATCTCAAAACCCAGAGTAATCAGAATAACTGGCATCCATCATAATCACAATCATATTTTCATCATCATATCAATCTCACAAAGTGCTTTCACAATACGTTTCATGTTTTTAAGCAGTCAAATATGACAGCAACTTTGAAAGTCAATCTGTTAAGAACCTCAATAAAGAAAGCAGTATCTACTACGTGTTATTAATGGACCAGACGGGGGATTAATGCTCCAGTACATGGTTGTTTAGAGAGATTAGATGCATGTGATCTCAAAAGTATTTGACTTTTCTTTCTTTGCTTTTAGGTTACTTCAATCCGGGTTTTAAAATTTGATTTAAAATTGAAAGAAAAGAACAGCAGGCAGCTTGAAATGTTATGGATTATATAAATGATTATCATTTCTTTTTTTTTAAATCTGCATATACTGCTAAAAATATAAAATCCTATCATTCTTTACTCATCGTCATGTCATTTCAAACCTGGAAGACTTTCTTTCTTCAACAGTCCTTTAAATGGAAAGTTCAATCAAATATAAAAAATATATATATTTGAATACCTTGAAGATATTTAGAAAAAAAAAAAACCACTGGAGTCCTAAAAAAACTCTAGACCGCTTTGAATTGAGCTAAGGCAAGCAGATAGTTTTGAACACTGGCTGGTATATGAAAATACATATATGTTTTTCTTAAATATGTATTTTGAATAATTTTAACTCCCAAAATTTCTTTAGCAATAAACTCTTTGATGGACAGCCGCACACAAGGCCTAACACTACACCTGATGAGGATGTTTCTCCCTCTCTGGACCCAACATCAACAGGTGTGACTAGGGATGTCACGGTACCAAAATTCCAGTAGTCGGTACTGATACCATTAAAATGTTACAGTTCAGAAAATATTGATGATATTGATAAATATTGCTTATAAAAGTAGTCTAATGTAATTATTTCTGTTAATTTCTTTAAGTTAAAGTTTTATTTTGACGGGTTGCCATGGAGACCTTTGAGTTTCTGTGCGTTTATGATGTGACGATAGGTTTTTCTTAAATGAAAAGGTAAAATGCTCATGAAGTGACTCTCGGAGATGAATGGAATTATGAATCATGTCATCATATCGTGAGGCAGCAGAGACTGAAAACAGCGCGAGCATCACTCGTGTTTCAGTGTGTGTGTGTGTGTGTGTGTGCGTGTGTGTGTGGTAACGCTAAATGAAACCGGCGCGTGATAGCGCTTTCATTCACACAGAATAGTCTTTTTGCAGTTTAATATACACAAACACCACATCAGCAGCGCCACCGGTCGACATATCTCAGCACTTTCATGACGAGGACGCAACTTCACGCCCTTCGTGCATGCATGTGCATCCAGATCCGGGTTTGATTGGGTACTCGGTACTACCGGGACTTGGTACCATGACGTCGACATTTTTTTAGTACCGACTTGGTTCCGAAGAACCAAATATTTTGACAACACTAGGTGGGACTCCTGCACTTCTAGCTACAAAAACTGTTGAATCAGAAGACACCGAAATGTCCAGAAATGTTAATCTGACAATAAATGTGGCACACACACACACACCCAGAGTCCCTTTTCTGGCTACGCTATTGGTGTGATACCACCAAAAATACAATTTAATTACTCTTCAGGTGGTGCATATTACATAAACAAACTCACAAGAACAAATATGCAAATGTTTTCATGTGACTCACCGTCCATCCACCTCCATCCGTGCTCATATCACAGTAGACCTGAAAGCCGGCAGGGTAATGAGTGGGAAAAACAGAGTAGATGCCATCTTCCCTCTGACCGCTAGCATATATATCACTACAGTCCCGTGGTCGAGAGCCTTGAAAAAGACAGAGAGAGAGAGAGAAAATCAAACACAAAAACCACAAATACTAGATCCCTGGATGGTTACAGGATAGCAAATAGCTAAACTAGGCCAAGACTAATTTAATGACCAAAGGAATATTACTATAGGTTAGCCAACATGATTGTGTGCCCATCTTTCTAAGGCAGCTGGTGCTTCTCAATTTACCGGTCTCTGTTCCCAAAAGAGTGATCCTTTTCCATGATTATAGAAAACACACTCCCCTTCACTGGCACACACTTACATAGAAGTGTCTGCTCCATCCCAGGTTCATTACAAGCCACACCTGTGGCTCCAGCAGACACAGAACTTAAAGGAAAAGTGGTAAAATGCTTTTGGACACATTAGGCCTCTCAAGAGCACAATTTAAGCACAGCCACTTTCTTTTGAGTTCCAGCAACTCGTCAGATGAGAATTCAGATCAGTGGGGCACAAAAAAAAAAAAAAAGACAATAGTTATGTGCTCTTTTTAAACAGTTTTCTGTGAAATTTTTGAGAATCAATGAGTCAACAGTGGGAGGAGGCGCTTTGTTCGAGGACCAAATTACTTGTGATTCTGAGGTGGTGTAGTCAGAGTACATGATTTGAATCTACTGTAAATCTTTGTTCATGGGACCACGTAACTTTTAAACTCAATCACCTGAGCAAAAATGCCGTGTGAAAAATCACTATGGAGCCACACGAAATAGTAAGAGGAGTATTCTACCGTGCTATTCTGGACTCTCTTTACTAATTCCCTTCACTAATGACATACTAAACTCTGAAAAGTCAATTTCATGCTTTTAAAGGCCTCCAAAAATAATCTGTCATTATATTATTAGATATTAGCAATACATATGTAGCAATCAAACAAAATTATTTTTAATGGTTCTCAAAAGAGAATGATGTCAACCAGCCAAATCCTGACTCCCTGGGGTGAAGAAAGGGATGGATGGACTTGGTTACATATGAAAGAACAATGAAACATACACTACTGGTCAAAACTTTAGGTTTATCACATTTTTATCAAAAGTGAAACTAAAGCTAGAAAAGTTTTCTTCAAATAAACGCTGTTCTTTGAACTGTCTGTTTATCAAATAACTTTGAACAAAATGTATAACGGTTTCCACCAAAATGTTTAGCAGCACAACTTTTTCAACATTAATAATAATAGTTATAAGGAATGTTTCTAGAGCAGCAAATGTAGGTGCAACGTTACTTATAGTAAAAAGAATGTGTTAAAGGGTCCTCCAAAATAAAGTGAAACCATATTAATATTTCACAATATTACTATTTTTACTGTATTTTTGATCAAATAATATAGCCATGGTGTTTGGTATTGTAAAGTGGAGGAAATAGACAATGGTCACTTAGGTAAAACCCAAGACATGTTAAACACAGAAGATGGGCAAACTGGATCTCATACCATTAGCACAGCCTTTAAGGCGAACTCCTCTAACTGGTGCCCTCTGCAGGTCAGCCTTCACCCTGGCCTTCAGACCTCCCGTGTCCTTCTGCATGGCATTCAGAGCATCGCTCACAGAGTTGACAACCTTCACCATGTTAATCTGGCTCTCGGACAGCAGCTGCAACACACAACAAACTATTACACAGAAAGCATGAACTGACAAGGAAACTGTCCAGATTAAACTGCAAGGAGCAGATGCTATAGGGTTGATCAGCAACTTGCTATTACATACCTGAATATTTAAAAGTAAATAAAAATCTGTCATAATTTACTCTCCCTCATGATTCAAACCTTTATGCTTTTTCCTTCTACGAAACACAGAAGAAGATATCATGGACAAATACTTTTCATTGGACCATAATGACTTTCATTACATTTCTGTTTGTGATCCACAGAAGAAAGTGCTCTGTAATGACGGTGCTCTCACATCACAGCACAATTCGGACCCCATGATATTTAGTGTTTAGTATCTCAAAATAAGTTGATGTTAGATTCTTTTTCCCAAAAATATATCAGCCATTGTGGATAACATGCAGTCTCTTGAGATTTATTTTGGTGCCTTGGACAGCAAAATGTTCAAGCTCTGCAGCACAACAGAAAACAAGTCTGTTTGATGGCTTTAACTTATAAGAACACTATAGGTTCTGGACATATAGAAAGCATTGAAGCGAACCGCTTCTTGTCCAGTGAAAATGAAAATCCCTTGTAGCCCAACATGAGAAGGCAAAATCTGTCTGGGAGACAGGTTCCATAAGACCGACTGTCATTTTTGCTCAGATACTTGACATGCAATTGAGCTGTAAAGGTCTTTGTGCCAGATAAGACCACTGTATGCCTTTTCCCCATAAACTTAGGAGATCTGACCCATTTTAGATGGAAAACGCTGTGTTCCTGTGAGCATGAGTGTGTGATTGTGTCATTGTTTGTGAGGCACATTCAACATAATAAATGAGTGTCCCGTTCTTGCCTGCAGCTCAACAATGTGTCCTATACAGTATTCTTTAAAGGACCTAATACCTGCTATAACTGATGAGCTATGAATATAAATTAGGAAACTAATCTCACAAGTTTTATCCTCTCTGTACTTGGATTTTATGCAAAGGTTTTGAAGGAATGAGAACAGTATAGTCAAAAGTATGGACTCAACGTGGTCTTTGAATCATCAGTCACATCCTATAATGCATGTTTAAATTATAGGAAATGTATGAGAGATTTATGTGGATTAAAAACTAAAATCCTGTAGTAAAAATAATGTTGATATATTTAATATAATTTTGAGTAAACCATAGAGGTTCAAGAAATTAAATATTTTTATTTAAAAAAAAAAAATACCATGGTGAAAATATACATGGAAATAGGTGTTAGGGTAAAAATGTTAACTTACAGATCACCATGAAACTTTACCAGTATACTCCCATGAATATGAGAAAAATATATATATTGAAATTTTTCTGTGGTGTTTAAATATGCTAATCAGGCTATATCTAATTAAATATGCACTCATTTGTATATATTTTGAAGTGAAGAATCTGACCATTGAAAAAAAAAAAAAAACAAGGTTCAAAATAAGTTTTGCATTTTGTTGATATATTCAATGAAAAAACATTACTAGACGGGATTATGAATATCTCCCTTTTTTTACCCTGTAAATCAGAAAATACTTTGGATGGATGCCAGCCCAAACCCCACCCACAAATTTTTTGGTCGGGACGTTCAGTCTGGTCTCGATCCATTGAGGAGTTCAGCAATGGTCGGGCCAATCAAATTGCCAGGGCAGGCTTTATACAATGATGAACAGGTGATCTGCAGTTACATAATCATCACGTTATCAAAGAGCGCTTGGCTTGAAATGGGCTGCTTTCAGCCACGACAAAACGTTGCACAACATTTTTAAAACAGAAACAGTGATGTGTTGAACACACTGTTCTGATGATGCAAGAGTTGTCTCGCCTCAAGATTTTTTAAAAATGTTTTTACTTTTTTTTTAAAATGTCTCACTAAGATAATAAATAATAAACAATGCTGTATTTATTTGATCAAAAATACAGCAAAATGCAGAATTTTAATATAGTTATACCTGAAATGTATTTTATACCTGTGATTACAAAACTGAATTTGAAATACTAATCTTTTGTAACATTATGTATTTGATGTCCCTTTCATTTTGACCAATTTAATGCTTTCTTTCTGAACAGTACTAGTGGCCATTTATTTTTTAAAAAAGGACTGACTTTTGAATAATAATGTATGTAAATAACAATGCTGATGCTCACATGCAGGTATTGCGAGGAAGACATGGAATATCAAATAATTATTTTGAATAATGATTTTCCATATTTTTTTCCTCCAAAAAAAAAAAAAAAAAAAAAAATCACTCTATTAGGGTGATAATTTTGACACTTTGTGCCTTTTGAATTCAATGAATCCAATTCCTCTTATGGGAGAGGGAAACGGGCAGAAACATTACTAATACACTGTACCAAATCGAATGATGTTCTCCGGGACCCTTGACTACTAGTACACTGAATTCTACAGATCATTGGTTTGACACCTGAAACACTTACACATGACGCAAACACACACATGCAAGCGCACTGACAGTGTAATGCCCATAGGAAGTAACCTTTAGCTTCAGGGCTTTTCCGTTGTTATATCAGCAAGTTGTAATGCTGAGATGATTGACAGTGCAGAATTACATTCTTTAATTCAGGGTGTAAATGGAATAGTCGCTGAAACTAAGATGCCACTAGAGCTGAAACAACTTCACACAGAGCTCAAGGCATTCATTCCTCACTAGTATTTCTTACTTTTATAGGTGATGCTATTTACTCACTGAGGTTTGAGGGGGAGGGGGAGGCCTATACTGTTTGTGAGTGCATATCATGCTGCTTTATGGAGCATAAGTGCTAAAATGCTATCATGTGTAACCTAAAATCCTACCTCAGTGCACTATCAGAGCTGGATTCACCACAAATTAACAATTAAACTGGCATTACAATTTAATACAGAACTGGGTTTAATCTGTGACAAGGGAACTGTCCATGCTTCATCGTTCATGTGACGGGAGATAATTACAGTTTAAAGTGCCCTTAATTAATAAGGTTTGATAATTTGGGGATGACACATTTTTTACACTGTTTCTAAGGTAACCGCAAACCTACCCCTGCCTCTTTATCATCAATCTTCAGCTGCACTCAGTCTGTGCTGAGTGCAACTTTCTGTACTCCTTTCCAGATTTCACAAATCCAACTATTCATTCAAACTGTATCAAAGCTCAATCAAAAAAAGTATGAGTATAAAAACAGAAAGAACCCTCACATTCACACACTAACACAAGCACGGGTCGCCACTGCTGTCTAAAAGTCATCAGAAAACGGAGGATTATTTTCTATTCAGGGGGGATTTTGCTAACGCTTTTCTCTGTCGCACAGGTGTTTGGTAGTGATAAACAACTCTTTCCCTCCTGCCCACTGTTTGTGAGTGTGTGTGCACGCGCGTGTGTGTGTGTGTGTGTGTGTGTGTGTGTGTTTGACAGATTTGGTGTGTGGGAGCTTGTCAGTAACTTGTGGTTAGAGAGAGATGGTGTTAATCCTAAACCTTAAGTCTTCGTAATTCAAATAAAAGTCAGGCTTTAACTCTGTGGTAAAAAGAGATTGCCTTGGATGTTCCTGTTGATTTCTGTAGTAATTCACTTAACACAGGAAAACAGGCAGCATCTGCTGTTCCCCTGCCCTGAAACTGAAGTCTATAGAATACAGCAGCCACCTAGTATCAATGTCCTTATTCAGCTTTCTCTGTCCTCAGCTCAACAATGTTTGTGACTATAACACTAGCATAATGCATTCGGAGTACAATATCTAACAGGATGACAGAGTGAAAGTCAACACACTTATAAAATGCCCTGGAGCAGCAAAAAAATCTTACCCAAAAAAACCCTGCAGGACAAGGAAATTACAATATATTGAAAATAAACAATCAGTGGCATTCTGACACATATAAATGTGTCTTACACAGCTGAGTAATTACTGCTCTAAATTCAGTTTGAAGCCTAAAATACAATATGTGACTCAGCCCCTATTAAAGGTTGTGCTGTGTAAATGAAATGCAGCATTTAGAGCAGCCTTAAACTTTGCACTATTGCAATATGGCATATTGCATTAGACTGATAATATAAATAAAATATTCATCATAATCCCTGTATGCGAGTCTTTTCTAGTCTTTTCAAAACAATTCAATAATTCAGGGTCAGCAAGAGTTTTTTTTTTTTTTTTTTTTTTTTTTTTTGAAATGAATATGCTGCAATTTTAATGCTAAGGGCCCTATCATACACCCGGCGCAATGCAGCGGCAGATATGACGCAAGTGTTTTTTGCTAGTTTCAGCCCAACGCATATATATTTTTAAATAGCAAATGTATTTGTGCCTATTTGTGTTGCCATGGGTTTGCTGGTCTGAAACGAGGTGTGTTCAGGCGCATTGTTGACGTGTTGCTATTTTGAGGCAACTGAAATTACAGTATTTTTTTCTATTTAAAGGCCCCATTAGTAATGTGCACCAATAGGTGGGTCCACAACATGGATACACCCTGGTTATTATAAAGGGATGCGTAGGAGCACACAAACAATATTAAAAATATTAAAAAAGGATTACAATGTAAAAGATTAATATTGTGTACATAAAGATATGGTGGAATCCGGCTTGTCCCGTAGATCGCCTGCTTGCGCGCTTTAACCTTTTAGTCTCTGGAGATGCGTTCAGTATTTCCGCTTGCCAATTCTGCCATATTCAGTTTTTGTTTTTGTTTTTTGATCCAGTGAAGTCGTCGTCATCTTAGGTGTAATTTGCGGGTGGGACAAGGGGTAACCACCATCAAACAAACCAAATGTGGGACGATTATAAGTTTGTGTGGGACAATGAGGGACATGATGTTACCAACACTAAAACATACCCTGACACTGTTATATCTAAGTTAATAAAAACATTTGTATTCTGCCTTTCAGCTGATAAAAATGATTTGTTCTTTAGTCGCTTCCAGAAAAAGATATTTATTTTACATGTCATTAATTCAATTCAACATAACTGAGCCCAAAGGCAGCTGCAGGCATTATACAACAGTTCT